ATGGGCCCAGTTCGATAAACTGCGTGTGGTCGTTTCTTGAAATCTTGGTGACCAATTTTCGATTCTGTTCTCCATTATTCCCGTCATCGTCGTGTTCGAGTTCGCTATCTTGAAATGGAATATGCGAAAGGAATTAAACCGTTAAGGGGAGCAGAAGATTGGCCATTCTGGAAGGATCGGATAATCGATGTTTTGGAATTGTTCAATGCAGTAGGAATTATTGAAGGAACCAAAGAAAAGCCAATTCTTTCGGAACCTCCAACGAAAGTCCAGCAAGATTCACTTGAGGCATACAACAAATCAGCTGCTCAAGCGAAAATAGTCATATCACAATGTGTTAGTGATGAACTGCATCAACGAATATCAGGAAGATTATTAGCTAAAGAAGCGTGGGATGTGCTAGTCGAACAGTTTGATAATAAAGCTGAAGATCAGTTATTTCGTCAATGTCTTGATTTCTTCAGTATGGAATGGGATGAAACCGAAGATGCCCGTTCCGTATTATCGCGAGTGAAGAATCAACATCGTGACTTCGCTGCTGGTCTGAAAACACGAGATATTGAAACAGTTGAAGCTTTTCTCGAGCTATTGTTCGTTTCGAAAGTATTGCACGTTCTTCCTAAGCGATTTGAGTCGTTCAAATCGAGTTACTTACTCATGAAAGCAAACGAAAATAAATCAGTCGAAGATCTTTCGTCAGCTCGAATCCTTCATGAGCGTAACGTCGCACCTGCTTCGAAATCAGGTGATGCTCTTTACACCGGAAGTGTAACAGTACCGAAGAAGAAGAAGAAGAAAATCATTTCTAACAGCACCAACTGCAGTGCCCAAGATGGAAAGCAGACGGTAAACCGTCGTATCCAGCGCGTGCTAGCGAATCTAGTACAGCTTCGACGACTGACTCTGTGGGTGGATCGAGTAGCTCACATGCAGTCGTGACTGAAACTCGTAATGCGCTGATTTCCATTAGTAGTGACATAAAAATGGCAACCACAAACGATCAGTGGTGGATTGACAACGGTGCTACTCGTCATATAACCTCGAATTTAAACTGGTATACCGATTTCAAACCGTTTCCTGAGAATTTCAATGCTACCGTTAAAGCTGCGGGATAGGAGGAGATCAAAGCATCAGGAAGTGGGACAATCGAACAGCAAGTTGAAAACATTCATACTCAAAGATGTGTAGTATGTTCCCACTATTTCACGAAATCTTGTCTCCGTCCTTGCAGAAATCCTGGCAGTAAGTTTGAATCAACGGATACGAAGTGTCGATTCAGTATCAAGAATCAGATGATATTCGAGGGAATTCGAAGCACAGGTGGCACACTATATTGCGCTACATTCCATACGTTGCCGCCAGCAGAGGTTTGTGCAGGTGTGACTGAACATGATCAGACACTTCAGCTTTACCATCAACGTTGGGGTCATATGGACAAGCGCTACGTCCGAGCGAAGCTTAATTCTGAATTGGGAATGAAACTGCCTATCGACGATAGGCATTGCGAACCATGCCAATTCGGCAAGGCACATCGATTACCATTCGGTACGCGAAATCAAGCTTCTGCACCTGGTGAGCTGTTATCCGGTGATGTTTGCGGGCCATTTGATCAATCTTTTAATGGTCGTCGTTACTTGATCGTTATCAAGGACCATTATTCAAGGTACCGTTACTGTTTCGTTGCACGAGAGAAATCTGCCGTCAAGGAAGCTCTCCGTGAACTACTGGCCAAAGCTCGTACTCTTGGTATCCACGTAAAAGAGTTCCTCAGCGACAATGGTCGAGAGTTCGACAACAATGGAGTACGTGGAATTCTTCAAGAATATGGAGTGAACCAGCGACTGACGGCACCGTACACACCTGAGCAGAACGGGGATGTTGAACGAGAAAATCGAACAATCGTGGAGATGGCTCGAACCTTCAAGTATTCAAATCCTGATATCGATTTTCCTGCAGCAATCTGGGCTGAGCTCGTCGTTACAGCTGGATATATTCTCAATCGTGTGGAAAAATCTTCAGTTGCGGATAAGACGCCATTCGAACTCTGGTTTGGTCTGAAGCCAAGAATCAAACATCTGCGTATTGTGAGCTCGAAATGCTACGTACACATTTCGGTGCAGAAGAGACGAAAAATGGATCCAAAGGCTTTGGTTGGCTATCTGGTTGGATATGACGGGGATGAACGTTATAGGGTCTACATTCCTGAGAAGGGAGATATCGTGGTCTCACGTGATGTTGTGTTTCTCGAGAGGGTCAATGACTGTGATGAACGAATATACTGGCCAATCGATGAAGACCGTAGTGCTGGAAAAGTAGACAGCCGTATAACCGAAGAAGAGGCAATCGACGAGCCGAATCTTATCACAGATCGTTCTGAAAAGGATTCCAGCAAAGAAGAGTCAGCAGAGTCGAATACCGAAACCAACGTCCAGTTACAAATACTTAGAAAGTCGTCTAGGGAGAGAAAGCGTCCTCGTTGGTTCAAATATTATGATACACAAGATAGTGAAGAAGTGTTTCACTGAAGATGAGCCATTGACCTTCGATGAAGCTCTTCACGAAGAGAATAGGAACGAATGGAAACTAGCCCTGGACACGAAAATCAAATCAATGCATGACAACGATGCATGGGAGTTGATGGATTTGCCTTCGGGAAAGAGAGCTATCAACAACAAGTGGGTTTTTCGTATCAAGCGTAATCCTGACGGGAGCACTGACAAGTATCGCGCGAGATTGGTCATCAAAGGATGCGCTCAACGACCCGGGATAGACTACGCAGATACTTTCAGTCCAGTAGCTCGATTGGAAGTAATACGTTCTCTGCTGTCTATTGCAGCCGTGGAGAAAATGGTTCTCAGGCAATTCGATGTCTCCACGGCATCTTTGTATGGTGATGTGGATGAGAAAATCTTTATGAAGCAGCCTGAGGGGTATTCTGATGGAACTAATCGAGTTTGTCGTCTCAAACGAAGCCTGTATGGACTGAAGCAGGCTCCGCGCTGCTGGAATAAGAAATTCGACAACTTCATGATAAATTTGGAGTTTCAGCGCAGTCTCGAAGATTCATGTGTTTATATTCGCGAAAAACCAACAGGAAAAATCATCGTTGCACTATACGTTGATGATGGTTTGGTTGCAGCGACGAGTCATTTCGAATTAGACTCATTCATCGAACAGCTGCGATCACGATTCAAGATTGTAGCCAAAGAGGTGTCATATTTCCTTGGACTTGAGATCGAACGGAATGGTGATGACATCGTGATCAGTCAATCGGTATTCATCAGGAAGATTCTCGATCGATTCAACATGGAAGGTTGCAATCCAGTTCTAACTCCTATGGAGAAACTCAACGCTAACAAGCCAGGGAAAGTACCGAATTTTCCTTATCGTTCGGCTGTTGGTGCTCTACTTTACGTGGTTCGTGGCACTCGTTTCGATATTGCTTTCAGCGTGAGCGTTTTGTCACGTCGGCTGGAAAACCCTACAGCTGATGATGTGATACGAGTGGAACACGTAATCCGCTACCTTGCGGGAACCATTAACTTAGTTAATATATCGCTCCAACCCAAATAATACGCATCTTCTGGAATGCTACAGCGACATAATTTTGCTGGCTGTCCAGACACAATGCGCTCCACTAGTGGAGTAGTCGTCAAGTTTGCTGATGCAGCCATCACTTGGTTGAGTCGTCGTCAAGAAGTGGTTAGTGACTCTACGTGCGAAGCAGAGATTGTTGCGGCTAACCTCGGGTCGAAAGAGACTATTTGGATCTCTCGCCTATTTAAAGAGTTGACAGGGTTGTCTGCGACTCCTGTTCTTCGTATAGACAATGAATCAGCCAAGAGATTAGCCGAAAATCCTGAATTTCACTTTCGTACTAAGCATTTTCAGCGAACGTATCTATTTATCAGAGATCGAATCAAGAATGGCATGCTAACCGTCGAACATATCAGCACTGAACAGCAACTGTCAGACATATTCACGAAGCCCTTGCCTCGTCCTCGTCTTCACGTTATGCGCCAGGGACTTGGTCTAGTTGACTGCGACAATTGAAAATAAGGGAAAGTGTTGAAGTTCAGTTATTTTTCAGTGTCGGGTCTGTATTTATTTGTACCCTCGGTACCATAGCTGGAGTTGTCAAGATGAGATGACGTTAGTTGAAGTAAATAAGTTTTGTCTTGTCAGAACATTTCATCTTTCATCCCACTACAGTTGTACTCATTAAAACCGTTTACTACTGTTGTTTGATTCATTTTGCATAATATGATATGAGAATGTGTATCGATGAGAATGGCCAACCTAAAATTTTCAAAGTTCAATGATTCAGAAATAATTATGAATATCAATATGGATGTTGATAAAAAAGATCGAGTTCTGATTTAACATCGAATGGTCAAAAAATATATGGAATGTTCCATTTTGAAAAACTCGAGAAGAATCCTTCCAAAAAGTTATGATTTCAAAAATCATTTTCAGCCAACCTGTATAATTTCAAAGCATTAAAAATTTTCAGAAATATCACGCTCCCTTTCATCTAATAATATCAGGATTATTTTCACTTCGATTCAATGATTGTGAGGACAGTTATTTTTTCGTTAGGTATGCATCTGCAGATGACATTATTCCGACAAAAAATTCATAACTTTCATATGATCGATAAATAGTCAACGATACTATAGGGGTGAATGATGGTCACAGGGATGAAACAAAAAATGTGCTCGTATACAAGGCATTTCATTAAAAAAAAACAAGGTATATTGTTGTCTGATTCACATTCGTTCTTGAATCAAGTTTCTAGTTATCATAGAACTCAAGCAATCGAGCTCCAACGCTCTAATGCCTCGACCTGTTATATGATAGTTCCCAGAGGTTGAACCAGTATCGACTAATAGGCATTTTCAGCAGGAAAAATGTTGCTCAATCGATTTTGTCACCTCTATCTGATAATTCTGATACACTCCGAGAAATTCCGCTGGTGAATAAAATATACTTATACTAACCAGTATAACTGGATTCAGGATGACTATCTTATCATCTTCTGTCAAATTGCCTGAAGCTTCTTGATCGTATGTTGTGTTGAAAGTTCGTTCAAATGTCACAGTATCTTCAGTGCTATTTGTTGATAAAATGTTCTTGTGGATATTTTGCCTAAAAAGAAAATGGGACAATTTTACATTTTTATCACTTATTTTTTCAATGAAGCCTCAATGAATAGAAAGAGGGTATCAGCCAATAGGCTTTCGATAAATGAAATATCGTTTGTGTAAAAACTATAAGGCAAACATCGTGATTGGACAGAGTGATGTACCTATCCTACACCTGAACAGTGATTCGGTATAAATAATGAATTGGTTGTCAAGGTTTAGCAGGAAAATATTGATTTTTTGTTTCACAAGCGTGCAGAATATGGATGATGAGTTTTTAAAATTTATATTTGTTGTGCAATGACTCATGAACTTCGTGAATTTCATTTCATTCAAATGGAGTATCGCTGATAAAACTGCACAAGTGTTTAAGAGGTGAAGCAAGACGCTCAGTAGAGAGTATGTTGATGTGCCCAGAAAACTTCAACCATGTAATCAGGTCGTTTGAAATGCGATATCTTCAATCACGTGAACGGTCTAGTCTCCACTACAAAACTTCTGAAATATTACGCTCACCTGCACAATCTGTAACTCAGACACCTACATAGTGCATAATTTGCCAAACACACTGAAACTCCGCTGGGGCGAGGAAATTTGCATGTGAGGATTCACAAATCAGGAATATATATTTTCAGATGGTTATTTTTTATAGCTGATACAGCTTGTACCTATGGAAAATTTACCCAACTCATCCATCGTACCAGGAAAAGCATAATGTCCGATGACATCGGGAGGTGGGAAATGATCACTAAGGATAATCTATGATTTTATGCCTGAAAACCAACCAAACCACACAACGTCAGAATGGCGACTAAAAAACCCTGTGGAACTAATAACAGCAGAAGATCACATCATAAACTATACGAATACAAGATCCAGACAACTCTATCTCAAATTTGCCGACAAACGATGTTCACTTAACTGGTTTGAATTCTATTTTCAATATTTCAATATTTCCGCTAGTCAGTATTTCGCTGGGTACCTATAACATTCGTTCATCCTCAATTTGAAATCGAAATATATTCTATACTTCGATTTCATCCTAATACACAGTTACCTGAGAAAATATTCTAAAAACCAATGAACAATTATATAATGGAATCTGATCCCCAGTAGCACACATATATTGGGACAATATCGGTGCAATATAACGAAAATATCGGCAAAATATTGTGAAAGTAATACTGGCGAGAAAAAAAATGTGAACATTCGGCGATATTGGTACAATATTAGTTTCCAAATGTGGGTAGAATATTCTCATATCAATATTGGTTGACTATTATTCGTAGAGTTATATTTGTCACAAAATATAATATCAATATTGGCGAGAAATTAATGGTGAACATTCGGTAATATTGGTGCAATATTATATGGAAAAATCCATGAATCATTGAGAATCATCATAAAGCTACGTTGTCTCAAAAATATTGGTAGAATATTTTCATACCAATATTGTTGAAATATTCGTGGACTTATATTGGTCACAAAATGTGATATCAATATTGCTGATAAATGAACAGTGAACATTTGACAATACTGGTGCAATAGTGATTGGAAATATTGGTACATTATTGAAAATCATTATGTAGCTATGTTGTCTTCAAAATCTTGGTAGAATATATTCATACCAATATTTGCGAGTTATTCGCATTGGGAATAATCACAAAGGTCAGCCCAGCCGAAGTGTAATGGAAGGGCCTTGCCCTGGGGAAGCCGCCTTGTTGATCACGGTTAACCCCTACTCCAGGTGATAATGCTTTACAATCGTCTAGAGCCAATATTTATATTCTCTCGTCTGATCGGCAATGGGAGTACGTTACCAATCATTTATAGCGCCTTCTATCGACATCGGTTTGAGAGTGCGTGATATGGAATGAATATCGAAATTTCGATATCGATATGTATTCTCAAAACAATATGTGAACAATATTGCTCTCATGATATAGTGAATCAGATATCAGCCAATATAAGATGATATTATTATCTGAATATGGCTGGAAAACTATTCAACCGATATGCAATTGAACTTGAAAATACAATATTGTGCTTCCCTTCTATGACCGATATAAGATATATATCGAATTGTCATTATTGATATTCATATTTGGAACAATATTTCTTTCACATGATATAGTTGAAACGATATCAATCAATTTGGGTAAATATGATGTTTTGAATATTGTCGAATAAACAATATTCAAAAATGAGCCGTCGAACTCGAATATACAATTTTGCATAACCGCTTCAGAATCGACATGGGGAGAATGCTCAAATTGCGATATTGGTTAAAATTGTTGGAAACAATATGTATACGATATGTTCCGCATGATATGGTTGGAATGATATCAATCAATATAGGTGAATTCGATGTTCCAAATATTGTTGAAACAATATTCATCCAATTTGCACTCGAACTCGATTACACAATATTGTATAACCGCTTCAGAATCGACATGGGGAGAATGTTTGAATTGCGATATTGGTTATAGTTGTTGGAAACAATATGTATACGATATCTTTCGCGTGATATAGTTGAGATGATATCAATCAATATAGGTAAATTCAATTTTCCAAATATTATAGAAACAATATTCTACCAATGTGCCGTCGAACTCGATTATACAATATTTCATAACCTCGCAAAAGAGGTTTTATTCCTAAACAGGCGAAACCTTAAAATGGTAGTAGGGCTCCTAACGGGGCACAACCACCTCAATAGGCACCTAGAGCTTATTGGGATCAAGGATGACCCCCTTTGCAGATGGTGCCTGGAAGATGACGAAACGTCATCACATGTCCTCACTGAGTGTCCAGCACTGACGCATCAGAGGAGGGCTGTCCTTGGCCACATAATTTTGAGGCCAGAGGACGTAAAAGAGATTCAGCTGAGGAAGCTGCTGAACTTCTCCAAGGCAGTCGGCATACCCAGCTGAATGTCGTAACATGTGGGCGCACAATGGGCCCGAATAAGGAGGCCCACGTGCAGGGGATTCACCCGCCCACCAGTGCTTCGAAGAAGAAGAAGAAGAAGAACCTCTTCAGAATTGACATGGGGAGAATGTTCAAATTGCTATATCGGTTGTTATTGTTGGAAACAATATTTATACGATATCTTGCGCATAATATGGATAAAATGATATCAATCAAGAAAGGTGAATATGATGTTTCGAAAATTGTTAAAACAATATTCAACCAATATGCCGTCGAACTTGAATATACAATATTGCACAACCGCTTCAGAATCGACATGAGTAGAATATTCAGATCGCGATATTGGTAATAAATGTAAGAAACAAAATGTATACGATATCTTCCGCATGATATAGATAAAATGATATCAATCAAGATAGGTGAATATGATGTTTCACATAATGTTAAAACAATATCCAACCAATATGCCGTTCAACTTGAATACACAATATTGCATAACCGCTTCAGAATCGACATGGGGAGAATGTTCAAATTGCGATATTGGATATAAATGTCGGGAACAATAGGTATACGATGTTGTTGTATCGATATCTTCAAAACAATATTATATAACATTCATAGATATGTTTTTCAACACATTGTTGATGAATTTTACAACAAATATTGCTTCAATATTGTAGCTGACAATCTATATTCAGCTCAGGTTGAACCGATATTACACCAATATCATCATTCCACTATTGTATGTCCAATATACTCTCATATTGGACCTATATTATTTTTCACATGTACGATATATCTATATCTGCCCAATATGAAATCGGGTTCCAGCCAATATGATGTGCTACCTGGGATATATCGAAGACTGGAACCTTTGGCACGATAATAAACTACACTGTTTAACCATGTCAACATCAACTTGACGGTTAGTATTTTTCACGGCTGGGTGAACATATACCTAGAATGGGATATTTAGTTTTGATCTTCTTCTGAAGATGCTAACATAGTTAGCAAAACACGTGTCGAGGCGTTCAAAAAATCGGTTTGATAAGTGGTAAAACAGTGTAGTGTGGAATGGAATCTGAGTTTGACTGATCACGAACAATAACCAGAACTGTCGTTGTTTCCATCTGCGTCCAACGCAGCAGCTCTAACCAGATGAGTCGGAGGTGCTTCATCTGTCTCCAAGCAAGGAGGAGACATCTCTAGGTGAGCGTTTGGGAAATCGCTATTCTGCCTTGTTCTAATCTCATAGATTTGCTCTCGCTGTGAGCACTGTGTTCTGGGGCGGAGGGAGCAGAGTCAGTAGCGTACGTGCCACCTTGCTAAGGTGCTAATAGCACCTGTTGAGTTGGCTTCGGGGCGCCGGAGGAAGCATGGCTTCAGGAATGCACTAGTCGCACTCGCATTCTCATCCATGAGCATTGAAAAACTATATACGTTCCCAAAGAAACGACACCATGTACATATATTGATAGGTTATAGCACAGGTTGTAGCATCAAGCGATACCTTGCGTAGGCTCTGGCTTCTACACGAGGTTCTGTGGGTTGGAAGACCTGCAGTTAATGGACCGTCAAATGACTTATATGACAGTCAGCAGCAACATCACTCGCGCTCATTCACTCCCATGTCTTATAAGTTCGGTTACATTTTGGTCAATAAATGAATGCCCTTCATCGCATCTTTGTCTCGAATTCTGTCCGTAATGTCAAATCAATCTCTAATGAATCAACTGGAAATTCTATAGTATTCTCATATACATTCCTAAAATCTGTTTCTTAATACTTCATAAAAATAATAAAAACTGGTACATATCATTCTTAACAGAGTTTTCAAATTTTCCACAATAGCAATTTCCATATGGAAATTCTCAATGAAACATTTCGTGTGATTCATATTCAAACACCTTTCTCAGTAATTTCAACTAGAATAAAAATCTATTCAGAGAAAAATTATTTCGAACTATCTTTCTTTGAAATTCGTCATAAAGGCATTCTATATACCTGATTATTTCTATTTTGGGAAAATTATTCCAATCTATCTTTCTTCGAAATTCGTCATGAAGGCATTCTATACCTGATTATTTCCCCACTCCTGACTTTCGAACAGTGTTTATTCTGGTGTGTATTGCCCTAATGACCTTTTTCCTCCTCCGGTCCCTTGACCATGATAACCAGTTTCGACTCTTGTCTTATTCTGGTACATCACTTCGTGACCGAGTTTGATAGCTATGATTTGGATTATTTTCATTACCAATTTCAGGATTTTCTTTTGGTTCCAGTTTGAGATCTTCATTGGCGTCGCTATCGAAAAATTCTAATTCGACACAGTGCATGAGGAACTGGAGGATGAGGACCTAAATGATGAGAATACCCCGCCTAATATTCCGACAATGGTGACAAAGTTTGGTAGAACTTTCAAGAATATTCATCCTACTTCTGAATCTGAGGTCGCTATAGGTGATTGGTTGGTGGTAGTGTATGATTTTGAAATGATCAAATCGTCTCAAGGTAATGAAAATCATCATTTTAGTGATCAGATTACAGATATGAACAAAATGGGCTATCTAGAAGGAGGACATATAAAAAACAACGAAAAAACTATCGCGATTACATTTACAATTTCCCCGATGTTCTAGGTGTGGACACTTTCCACTTTGAGGAATCAATTGGAAAAGTTTCTCCACTAGAAAACTATCTTATAGACCCTCTGAAGTTCACCTTCAATCCAAAGACTCAGAACATTAGTCATATTCTGAATGTATCATTTCTCAAAGAAATTCCTAAGTTGAGTTATTTTCTGATTTGTTTGTATGATCTGTTAAATGTAGGAATCAAGTTTATTATACTGTCCTAGTGCATTTTTATATGGAAGAATTATATTATTCGACCTTTTCAACCTAAAGTCAGTTGAGAGAGTTTTTGATGAGTTCCAAGTTACTGATTCGATTGACCCCACCCTTGGTTGGGTCAGGGCATATAAAACATATAACGATTCCAATTTCCATAAAGATCAAAAATCGGTTTGTACAATCGAAAATATTGGTCGAGACACAAATATCAACATGATAGTAATTTTTTCAACTCTCATCAAGGAAAGTGATAGCAGCTTGAACAATAAAATTGACCCCATTCACCCCCTTCTACAGTAACACTCTTGTTCTATGAACTTAAATATTTCCTAACCAGTGATATATAAACAGTTACAAAACAACGAGAGAATATGTCTAAAATGTTTTGTGAGTTTGCTCTCGGAATATTCTTAAAATGAATTCGGAGGAGCACTGCGAGAAGCACTAAACCAACTTCTGCAGCCTTATAGAGCAGAACTGCACTTCGAGAGTAGTCGGACTCACTGTCGGCTCCATCGATGGTTATTATCCCATTTCATCACTCACACCAGGGCCACCAGGCCTTTATTCAACACTTGGACACAAAACATTCTTTCAAGACGTCGATTCCTTAGATATCAATCCAACTATTTAGAATTTTTCTTTATTCGATGTTATTTTGTTCTGTTACTTATTAGCCATACCACAGTAGATTGCTAAATATCCAGTAGTCACACTTAATGTCAGTACCATTGATGTTCGTCACCTCGTTTTGTTCACTGCTCACCCATAATTCCATGCAACGCGCATCAGGCCAATATTTCATCACTTGGACACAATATATACAACAGACATGCATGTCTATACGTCGGTACCTCAGATAATAAATAAAAGAATACATCTTTTGGTACTCGGATTATTCAGATGATGAAATGAAAATGACAAATATCTGACCTAACAGCAGGTGGGCACTTAGAAGGCGCAAATTCATGATTGCATGAAAGATATCCTTCAGATATTCTGCTATTCAGTGACTTGACCACGATTAACATTGACGTTTCAGTCTCCTGCGCAATCAAAACTCAGATGCCACGAGTCGATTCGATATGGATACAAAATTCTAGTAGGAAGATATAACTATGTTTCTCAAAGGATCAAACTATGGAAAAACTAAAACTATTTCAATTTTTGAGGTGAGGTATCGGTATATTGTTCTCAACGTGAGCGGAGTCGCTGGTAGAAGCTAGTGTTTCCCATGAACTAGACAAGAAATATGACAAATACAACAATGTAATATGTCTCTAATTCGTTCTGGTTCTGTAAACCATCGATGAATACATGCATAGAGTGGAATATTGTATAACTGATGAGTCACAATAATAGAATGACATTTTTTGACGTATTATCAAAATGAATAAACTCGTGTTCCTTTACATAAATAGAATTATATATTGCGTGGAAGTAGCATAACTACTACTCATTTCGTAATTTGTCCAAGGACTTTATGACGTATAATCTCATCCCATGATCATAATGATTCATTGTGTAGGCACAAGCGCATGAGAAATATTCTTATAAATTACCTATTCAGTATTCGAAATTCAGTCGATGTTATTTTTTCTCCATTTTGGTATTCTTTTTTTTTTCGATATGTCAAATGATGATCAGAGGTGACAGACATAAGCCTCTCATGAAAGTTCACGCTGATTTTCTATCTTATAGGATATATACATTGGATTCGACAACATGCTGAAAATTCAGATATTTTCACTGAGAACCATTCTTACCTATGAATGGAGTGTACGCAGCAGACATTCAAGATCGTTTTCAGATTACTAAATTCGCCTCATCAATTTCCTGAGCACCAGCACAGCGAAAACCTTCCACTATATTGAGTAAAAATTCACGTTGATTTTCAATTTGTTATCATTTTCATTTTTAGGAATTATCTTTTTAGTGAATCTTTTCTCAATCAAAACCCTTCATCAGTAGGTAGGTACATTCCACATGAAGGCAATCCCTATCTGAACATTTTCAAATGTTCTTGAATGTTCATAAAATCGATCGGGAATTGAAATGAATATATTCTTACTTATAACAATATGGTCCTCTTTCTTCTAGAATTGGCTTAGCTCCATCAGCTACTATTTCATCTGGATTCTTCACATGATACAAAAAAATCTTCAAGATTATATCCACAGGTAGGTCTACAAATCTATCCCATTGTATCGTTCCATCATCTAGTTGAACTGACTGAAATCAGAACATGATCAATGTAGTAAATATTACAAAAACTATGAATAGCAAAAACATATTTATCAGAAAATTGAAGTTCATTTTGAAAAAATATGTATTTATGGATGAAAATCAGAGGTTGGACCCACGATACGAGCATTTTGTTTACCAATCGTATAATCGATATGATACTCATAATTATGGAATGCGAATAGTGTTGATCAGATTTGGCTTTGTAGTCATGAAATAAATCACCTAGCAAATTGCTCGGAAAGAACCGGGATAATGGAATATAATATACATTGTCATAGGTATCTTCTCAATGTGAAAATTCTTCAAGAATATACATATATACAGGGTGGGCTCTTGTTTCGTATTGTATTGGTAACTTCCAAATTCAACTAGCAATATTTGATCTCAGACAGACGAGATAAGATGAAACTCAATAAAATCTCATAACAAGTCGATTCTCTCGAAATTTCTGTGATTCTTTAAAAACAAAGAGAGAGAAACTCGAAGTCATTACTATACTAGTTCATAAAATGAACGAAAATGGTAGATGACGAGAGAAAAACAGCTACTTTGCTCCCATTTCCTTTCCTATGCCACGCAGAACATTGGAATAGGTACATCCTCCCGAAATCTATGCAATAATTCGTATAGACGAATGAAATCGCAAGTGTTTCCTTCCCAAACGCTGAGCTGCGCTTAAGTGGTTCCGGAACGCGTTACTACCTGCAGACCTCGAGTTTCTCTCTCTTTGTGACCTTTGCATTTCACTTTGAGTATTTGGCTTTATGCTAGTTGAAAATACGCCAGTCGGGCAACCAGCCACTCCCATTCCACCTGAAATAGGATCTTGTTTTGAAGTGTTCCTTTCCTTGCCAGTTTACGTTGGGCCAGCTTCGCACCAGATAGCGGTCAAGAAGCTATCTGGGATAGCCCTGTGGCCTGTACTGATGAGAGTCAACAGCCCGAAACCATTCTGCAGGTAGTCACGCGTTCCTGAACCACTTGAGCGCAGCTCAGCGTTTAGGAAGGAAACACTTGCGATTTTATTCGTCTTTACGAATTATAGCATAGATTTCGGGAGGATATAATCCAATGTTCTGCGTGGTATATAGCCAGGAAAGTAGTAATTTTTCTCTCGTTATCTACCATTTTCGTTCATTTTATGAACTAGTGTGGTAATGACTTTGAATTTCTCTCTCTTTGTGACCATTACATTCCACTTTGAGTATTTGGCTTCTTCCTAGTTGATTCTTCGAAAAGTTACGAACAAATTATCAACAAGAACAGTTATATAAATATTTCAAAACACAATTTCGAATAATAACAAAAAGGTTGAGTGAGTGATGTTAACCGTTTTCTTCAATACTCTTGGCAAGCTCACATTTCTTTCGAATGATTCCGATGTGTCATAATTAATAATTTTATTTTCTTCATTGAATTATCATCATTGGTGTTTCAACTGAAACTAGCACATCAATTGTAATGATGTATGAGCCTTCTTGTTTCAAAGTATAGGAGGCCGTGAAAACAATTCATATGATAACGACACTATCAGATTATAATTCTTTGCATTACGAAAATGTTTCGTCGTTCACAAGTTTTTGAGTGTTTCTCTTCGTATCTAATCCACCCCATATGGCAAGATACACTGCAGAAGGAAAACGAGATATGTACGAATTGTATGTTGAACTGGACAGAAATTCGTTTAGCGTAAAACAAGGTACGGCGATTGAACCTCGACAGATTGCAACCGAATATAAAATTTTTTTGGCTTTCGTCTACAATTCTTCTCGAACATAATTCATTCAATGGACCTCCGGAATTCCGTATGTTCGAAGGAGCGAGCCAGTCAACGATATCAATGTTCTAGCTCAAATTCAAATGAATCCAGTTCTTGGGTCAAGAAATATTGCGGGTGAATGCATTTTATCAAAAAGTGCTGGTAATAAGATGATCAAGAGACATAGAAGTTCAAGCAATAGTGTAAAGTGTAGTTATACGAACAGTGAAGGAACATCTGTACAAATACTTCAATTTGAATGGTTCATACCGTTGGACTGATGTTCAGCCTGAAATTACGAAAAATAATAATAATAGCAGAAAACATACGACGATTAGATGCAAGCCCAGTGACGTCACCAGAGCCAATGAACAAGACATGCTCAAGCTCATATCCACTTACAATCAAATCAAAATTGCAGGAGTTCGAAAATTCAACGTTGGTGACATCGTGCGGATAAGCAAAACTAAACATGTTTTCGAAGAGTATTATACACTGAATTGGACTACTGAAGTATTTGAAATCGTGAGAGTCCGTACCACGAAGCCTATAACATATATTTCGGAAGATTCGCATGGTTCACCAATCAATGGTGCCTTCTATCCCGAAGAATGTCAAAAAACTGAAAATTTCGATGTTTATCTGGTAGAAAACGTTTTGAGAAGAAAAGGGCAAAAGCTGATTCGATTCTAATAATGAATTATGTTTTCGTATGAAAAAAAAAGCACTAATTCGATGGATGTGAGGAACCTTTCACGTTCATCGCTAGCAAATAACAGCGATTTCAATCGGCCGTATGTCAGTAGTGTTGGTATAAATAGTGACGACTGGACCTATCCAACACATCGGTTCGAGAACAATGAGTGTATACTCTGGTTATTCGTCTTGTGAAGTGTTTTTTTTTGGAAACAGTACCACTAGTTCATCTGCAATGTTGAGATATCATGGTAACAATCATACGTATTTAAAGATGCTTGAACAAGCAGCGAGAGCCGAATCGTTCCACCTGTTGACTCCATCGCTTCAGTTGTTAACCTACATGATTTAGTGCAGACTCAGTCCAGCTAAACAGTTCAGTGCGGGCATCATTCTGAAGAAATTCTCCTATCCAGCGAAACCTTCGTTCTTCACATATAAATGGGCTACTTTCATCGATTCGCTTTATAAAGTACAACAGGTTCCTCTTGAAGCACATCTACCATATTTCATTGATGAATTGTTATAACCTGCGGGGACTTTATCACCATAACCAAATTCGTCTGCGATGGTGTTAATTTCACAACATCACATTCGAATTGGTGAAAGAGGATGTTGCGGACATTTAGAGTACTGAAACGTGTGTTGTTTCGCTTCAAGTTGCGTTAATGAACGAATTTGACTTTTTCATGTATTATCAAAACATTCAAAATACACACACTGGCACAATTAGGGAAACGGGTAAAATTTACACTAAGTTTGACATCAATTTTCTCTCGAACCGATCACTCGATTCGAATTTGTTTTTCACGAATTGTAGCTTCATTCTTCACGAATACATTTGAGAAATAACCACCTCCAAATAATTCGTCTTTATGTCATATACAGGGGTGTAAAGAAAGTACGGATTTTTCGGTATTCTTTAAGACATCCTGTGGAGTGAACCACTGATAATTGAAACGATTTTCCAACACCAAATTATGGCCCAATCTATCCCGAATATTTTCGTTTTTTATTCATCTTGATATCCCAATTATCCAAGAAAATATAGAGTTTCAAAGAAGAGGTGGATATTGGTATTAATTTTACCACCTCGAAACTCGAACTGGGGAGAACGTGTCGTTTTTCAACTTGTTTCTGTGAGGATTTTTACTTCAAGATGAGAATTGTTCACAGTTTTACCTATCGGTTTACTGTTTAAAGATACATATACGAATACTCTCATGAATATGCAGGGGTGATAAAAGTTGCTCCAATGTTCTTTTGGTGAAATGCTATTTTTGTTAATCAACGTTGGCTATTTTGTTAATGTCATTAATTATTGTCAAAGTCAAGCGATTCACAATTCATAAATTTGATTAATGAAAATTCAACGTGAGAGATTCGACTCCTACTGATGTGGCGAGGGCTGTAGCATTAATTGAAAATGACCAGTGGGCCAATGTTCTTTTAACATATGAGAACCGCATCTGCACCAATTCAATAGATGGCAGGGAAAGACTATATCGCCGAGGTGAACAAAATGAACGATTTGATTTTACTGCTTCTGTCTCCTATGGCAGAGGTCTAGTCATGGTTAGGTTAGGTTAGTCAAGAAACCACACATTTTCAGATCCAATTTGAGTTTTGAGGTGTAAAATTGATACCAATATCCACCTTTCCTTTGAAACTCTGTATTTTCTTGAATAATTGAGATATCGAGATGAATAAAAGACGAAAATATTCGGAATAGATTGGTCTCCAATTTGGTGTTGAGAAATCGTTTCAATTATCAGTGGTTCAGTCCACAGGATGTCTAAAAAAATACCGAAAAATCCGTACTTTCTTTACACCCCTGTATATGATGGAAAGACTCATCGTTTGAAGGTAATTATTTTTCAGATGTATTCGTGAAGAATGAAGCTTCATTTCGCGAAGAAAAAAATTTGAATCGAGCGATCGGTTCGAAAGAAAATTGATGTCTAACTTAGTGTAAATTTTGCCCGTTCCCCTAATTGTGCCAGTGTGTGTACTATAGCTGATTCGATCAGAAATGAACTGACTGATTTGAGTGCGGAAGAGCTTATATTTGGATTTTATGATATTTCTGATAGTATGTCTAGTAATGCTCTTAGAGAATATTTTTATCATTGTAAAAATCAGGTTTTGTCTGATTTGAATGGAATGCTGTGGAAAATGTGACTTGTTTTTTATTTAATCAGTTCACAACTAGAAGCATATGGATTTTTGTGGCTCTGCTAGAAAAATTATGAGGTCTGAAGTAGCTGATACTTTATAAAATCTCCTGCTTTGACTCTGACAGAATCCACTGAACAAGAATTGCAGTATATTCCAGTAGAATGTCCTATCGAATATACAGATCCTTGTGACCTATTAATGGAGTGGCACAAACTGCCTCAAGAATATCGCAGCAACTTCAACCTTCAAATCAGGCTGCCATGTGACTCTCAAAGACTCATGGAAATATTGCACCATAAGTTGATTCCGTTGAAATAACATGAAATCTAATCTCCAGATCGGATCTCTTGCT